ACATGTAAGAAGTAGAAAGTACAGGTATTTGTGTTCAACATGTGAGAAGTAGAAAGTACAGGTATTTGTGTTCAACATGTAAGAAGTAGAAAGTACAGGTATTTGAGTTCAACATGTAAGAAGTAGAAAGTACAGGTATTTGAGTTCAACATGTAAGAAGTAGAAAGTACAGGTATTTGGTTCAACATGTGAGAAGTAGAAGAAGTACAGGTATTTGAGTTCAACATGTAAGAAGTAGAAAGTACAGGTATTTGTTTCAACATGTAAGAAGTAGAAAGTACAGGTATTTGAGTTCAACATGTGAGAAGAGTAGAAAGTACAGGTATTTGGTTCAACATGTAAGAAGTAGAAAGTACAGGTATTTGAGTTCAACATGTAGAAGTAGAAAGTACAGGTATTTGTGTTCAACATGTAAGAAGTAGAAAGTACAGGTATTTGAGTTCAACATGTAAGAAGTAGAAAGTACAGGTATTTGGTTCAACATGTAAGAAGTAGAAAGTACAGGTATTTGAGTTCAACATGTAGAAGTAGAAAGTACAGGTATTTGTGTTCAACATGTAAGAAGTAGAAAGTACAGGTATTTGAGTTCAACATGTAAGAAGTAGAAAGTACAGGTATTTGAGTTCAACATGTAGAAGTAGAAAGTACAGGTATTTGAGTTCACATGTAAGAAGTAGAAAGTACAGGTATTTGAGTTCAACATGTAGAGAAGTAGAAAGTACAGGTATTTGAGTTCAACATGTAAGAAGTAGAAAGTACAGGTATTTGAGTTCAACATGTAAGAAGTAGAAAGTACAGGTATTTGGTTCAACATGTAGAGAAGTAGAAAGTACAGGTATTTGAGTTCAACATGTAAGAAGTAGAAAGTACAGGTATTTGGTGTTCAACATGTAGAAGTAGAAAGTACAGGTATTTGAGGTTCAACATGTAAGAAGTAGAAAGTACAGGTATTTGTGTTCAACATGTAAGAAGTAGAAAGTACAGGTATTTGATGTTCAACATGTAAGAAGTAGAAAGTACAGGTATTTTGAGTTCAACATGTAAGAAGTAGAAAGTACAGGTATTTGTGTTCAACATGTAAGAAGTAGAGAAAGTACAGGTATTTGTGTTCAACATGTAAGAAGTAGAAAGTACAGGTATTTGGTTCAACATGTAAGAAGTAGAAAGTACAGGTATTTGGTTCAACATGAAGAAGTAGAAAGTACAGGTATTTGAGTTCAACATGAGAGAAGTAGAAAGTACAGGTATTTGGTTCAACATGTAAGAAGTAGAAAGTACAGGTATTTGTGTTCAACATGTAAGAAGTAGAAAGTACAGGTATTTGGTTCAACATGTAAGAAGTAGAAAGTACAGGTATTTGTGTTCAACATGTAAGAAGTAGAAAGTACAGGTATTTGGTTCAACATGTAAGAAGTAGAAAGTACAGGTATTTGAGTTCAACATGTAAGAAGTAGAAAGTACAGGTATTTGGGTTCAACATGTAAGAAGTAGAAAGTACAGGTATTTGTTCAACATGTAAGAAGTAGAAAGTACAGGTATTTGGGTTCAACATGTAAGAAGTAGAAAGTACAGGTATTTGGTTCAACATGTAAGAAGTAGAAAAGTACAGGTATTTGAGTTCAACATGTAAGAAGTAGAAAGTACAGGTATTTGTGTTCAACATGTAAGAAGTAGAAATATTTGTGTTCAACATGTAAGAAGTAAGAAAGTACAGGTATTTGGGTTCAACATGTAAGAAGTAGAAAGTACAGGTATTTGGGTTCAACAGTTAAGAAGTAGAAAGTAACAGGTATTTGAGTTCAACATGTAAGAAGTAGAAAGTACAGGTATTTGAGTTCAACATGTAGAAGTAGAAAGTACAGGTATTTGGGTTCAACATGTGAGAAGTAGAAAGTACAGGTATTTGGGTTCAACATGTAAGAAGTAGAAAGTACAGGTATTTGGGTTCAACATGTAAGAAGTAGAAAGTACAGGTATTTTGGTTCAACATGTAAGAAGTAGAAAGTACAGGTATTTGAGTTCAACATGTAAGAAGTAGAAAGTACAGGTATTTGAGTTCAACATGTAAGAAGTAGAAAGTACAGGTATTTGTGTTCAACATGTAAGAAGTAGAAAGTACAGGTATTTGAGTTCAACATGTAAGAAGTAGAAAGTACAGGTATTGTGTTCAACATATGAGAAGTAGAAAGTACAGGTATTTGTGTTCAACATGTAAGAAGTAGAAAGTACAGGTATTTGTGTTCAACATGTAAGAAGTAGAAAGTACAGGTATTTCGTTCAACATGTAAGAAGTAGAAAGTACAGGTATTTGGTTCAACATGTAAGAAGTAGAAAGTACAGGTATTTGGGTTCAACATGTAAGAAGTAGAAAGTACAGGTATTTGGGTTCAACATGTGAGAAGTAGAAAGTACAGGTATTTGGTTCAACATGTAAGAAGTAGAAAGTACAGGTATTTGTGTTCAACATGTAAGAAGTAGAAAGTACAGGTATTTGGGTTCAACATGTAAGAAGTAGAAAGTACAGGTATTAGAGTTCAACATGTAAGAAGTAGAAAGTACAGGTATTAGAGTTCAACATGTGAGAAGTAGAAAGTACAGGTATTTGTGTTCAACATGTAAGAAGTAGAAAGTACAGGTATTAGAGTTCAACATGTAAGAAGTAGAAAGTACAGGTATTTGTGTTCAACATGTAAGAAGTAGAAAGTACAGGTATTTGTGTTCAACATGTAAGAAAGTAGAAAGTACAGGTATTTGTGTTCAACATGTAAGAAGTAGAAAGTACAGGTATTTGAGTTCAACATGTAAGAAGTAGAAAGTACAGGTATTTGAGTTCAACATGTAAGAAGTAGAAAGTACAGGTATTTGAGTTCAACATGTAAGAAGTAGAAAGTACAGGTATTTGTGTTCAACATGTAAGAAGTAGAAAGTACAGGTATTTGAGTTCAACATTTAAGAAGTAGAAAGTAAAAAGTTCTCAGAAAAATAAGTAAAGTAAGTACTGATACCAGAAACATGAACTTAAGTCCAGTAACAAAGTATTTGTACTCCACTACTTCCAGCTCTGGTGACGGAGAGCTTCAGGAGCAGAACCATTCCTCCTGTTTATATGTCCAAGAATAACAGGAGCGGGAATCAGATATTGTGTTTGGACGAGTTCCACCGTCCTGAGCGCTGTTTGGATTTACTCTGAGCCTCAAAGCTGTTCTGACTGAACCACACACACACACAAACACACACACACACACACACACATTTGTTTTTGGCAAATTAAAAGGTTGTTTTTTTACTGCTGAGTGATGCAAAACAAGAGCCTGTAACCAATCAGAAATATGTCTCACTGAGGGAAAACCCCGTCTCCTTCGAGGCTCTGGAGATGATTTTCTGACTTGTTTTAAACTCCACAGAAGGTGTCGTTGAATGCAATTCTGATTGGACATTTCAGACGTGGTTAATACACAATAACACACTGTTGCTAAGGAGAGCAGACTGTTTCTAAGGAGGATTAACAGCAGCAGAGGACAGACAGACAGAAAGACACTAAAGGGAACTAAGCTAATTACCCGTTACTTGTAATCCATTACTCCCAAAGCCTAGGAACGACTACACATGAGTTATTTCTTTAAATGTCTCCTATGATGAAGTTTTAAAGGCTTGTCTGGCACAAACCGCAGAACAAAAACACACCACTGAGAGTCTGATGCAAGAATATCAACAGCTCTAAACTCCAGGAGAGACTGGGAGACAGAAAAACAAACCGCTCTGAGAACTTTTAACTGGAAGAGAAACCAGACGGATGAGTTTGGACTGGAAACTGGAGACATGCTGCCAACACACCCTCATAGACATGGATAAGGATATCAGGAGGTGTGTGTGTGTGTGTGTGTGTGTGTGTGTGTGTGTGTGTGTGTGTGTGTGTGTGTGTGTGTGTGTGTGTGTGTGTGTCACAGCAGACGTGTTTGCCAGAGTGTGCAAAGCAATTTTCCACTTGAGTCTTGGCGGTGAAACCACAACACCTCGACCAGCGATTATCACATCAGAGTCCAAAGCCTCAGAGCGGCGTTCAAACTGGAGTCATGAAGAAATAAAACGTTGTGTCTCGCAGTATCAACAACGTGACATTTTCCCCTCGTGATTCACCGTCAATGGCAAAGATGAGGGGTTTAGACTTTACTAAAGAGGAGAGGAACATGGTGACATCACTACGGTACACTCGCGCTGCTATTGCTCAATGCTCAAAGGTTTTATCATCATATGAACATAAGCTACAGGGTAGAAATGGCAATGAAACCCTTCTGACCTGACCTCCTCCAACAATGCAACATATATAATAAAATAAAAAATAGTGCAAGAAGTCTGTATACATGTGAATAGTAGGGGCCCAGAATATTAAATTAAATGATGTACATTAAGACAAGATTAAATACGGTTCATTGCGGTGATAACTATTTATATAAATAAGAAGATTGCAAGATGACTAACAGATGAATGAGATGAGGGGTTTAGACTTTACTAGGGAGGAGAGGAACATAGTGACATCACTACGATACACTCCCGCTGCTATTGGCTAGAGCTCCAACACATTATACTTGAACCAACTTCCTGTTTTAATCAGAGAGGCAGAGAGTCTCCAAACCTTTAAGAGTGCGTTGAGGACCTACGTTTTTTAACAAAGCCTTCGGTTAGAGCTGGCGTTTTATGGTATTCATTTTTAAGGTAATTAATTTGAATGTTTTATGTATTTTTATTGTATCTTCTTTTATTTGTATTTGTTTTCCACACACTATCTTGTCTTCTCATTTCGCTGTAACTCCATCATATACAATGTGATTGTTATTTAATCTGTAACACTGAGACAAACGTGTTTTGTGATATTCAGCTATACAAATAGGTGTTTGATTTGATTTGATTAGATAGGCTAAGGGGCGGGACATCTGTAAGCTGGTTGAAAGTGAAGCAAACACAGCATATCCAATAATAACCACCAATGAGAGAAAACGTACCACCAGTTGCCACGGTGATTTCACGCAGGAAGTGTCCATAGAAGGGGAAATCGAAGGACAGGTTGACTCTCTGTGAGGGAGAAAAGAGGAAGAGGAGGATCAGAGTCTTCATCTTAGAAAACAACCAGAGGATTTAGATCAGAGTCTTCAGGAAACACAGGATTTAAGGAGCAAACAGAGCTCATCTGTGCTGAACAGTAAATGACCTTGATGTCTGCACTGATGTGGATTAATGAGGATGTCTAATGGCAAGAAATACACTTTTACATTATAAATCTATGTTTTATAGGAGCCCGTTTCTGTAAGACAAAAAGAGGGAAAGTTATTAAACAAAAGAAAGGAAATGTGACTGAAAGGTTTATGAGCGTGTGGAAATACAGCTGCAGATAAATTATCTTTCTCTAAGGCATTTTAAAGCCCTCTTTATAGCGGGACAGAGTTTGGTTACGTGTGGAAAGCCATTCTGCTGATGGCAATTAACACGTGATAAAGGAAAGCTATAAAATCATGAAGTTTTTCTAAATAAAACCAAATGTCTTTAACAAGTCACCATTAATGATAGAGTACGCATTCATGCTTTGATGCTAAATCGTAGCGCTGCCAGCTAATGTGATGCAGGGAGACAGTACCAAGTAAACATATAAATGAGGTCTGAGGTTAACACAGGCTGAAGAGATTTGAAAATACGTCAGTAGATTCCCCACTGGTGGATTTAAACAAAGCGGTTGCTAACAAGCGTCTAAATGAGACGACTAAACATCATCACGCCCAACATTAGCCTCCTTTAGCTTAGCGGTGGTGACGTGAAGTCATGTGACCGTGCTATAGTTCCTTTATAGCCCAACATTAGCCTCCTTTAGCTTAGCGGTGGTGAGTGAAGTCATGTGACCGTGCTGTAGTTCCTTTATAGACCAACATTAGCCTCCTTTAGCTTAGCGGTGGTGACGTGAAGTCATGTGACCGTGCTGTGTAGTTCCTTTATAGCCCAACATTAGCCTCCTTTAGCTTAGCGGTGGTGACGTGAAGTCATGTGACCGTGCTGTAGTTCCTTTATAGCCAAAAATTAGCCTCCTTTAGCTTAGCGGTGGTGACGTGAAGTCATGTGACCGTGCTGTAGTTCCTTTATAGCCCAACATTAGCTCCTTTAGCTTAGCGGTGGTGACGTGAAGTCATGTGACCGTGCTTTAGTTCCTTTATAGCCCAAACATTAGCCGCCTTTAGCTTAGCGGTGGGTGAGTGAAGTCCAGTGGACCGTGCTTTAGTTCCTTTATAGCCCAACATTAGCCGCCTTTAGCTTAGCGGTGGTGACGTGAAGTCATGTGACCGTGCTGTAGTTCCTTTATAGCTCAACATTAGCCTCCTTTAGCTTAGCGGTGGTGACGTGAAGTCATGTGACAGTGCTTTAGTTCCTTTATAGCCCAACATTAGCCGCCTTTAGCTTAGCGGTGGTGACGTGAAGTCATGTGACCGTGCTGTAGTTCCTTTATAGCTCAACATTAGCCTCCTTTAGCTTAGCGGTGGTGACGTGAAGTCATGTGACCGTGCTTGTAGTCCTTTATAGCCCAACATTAGTCCTTTAGCTTAGCGGTGGTGACGTGAAGTCATGTGACCGTGCTTTAGTTCCTTTATAGCCCAACATTAGCCGCCTTTAGCTTAGCGGTGGTGACGTGAAGTCATGTGACCGTGCTGTAGTTCCTTTATAGCTCAACATTAGCCACCTTTAGCTTAGCGGTGGTGACGTGAAGTCATGTGACCGTGCTCTAGTTCCTTTATAGCCCAACATTAGCCTCCTTTAGCTTAGCGGTGGTGACGTGAAGTCATGTGACCGTGCTGTAGTTCCTATATAGCCCAACATTAGCCACCTTTAGCTTAGCGGTGGTAACGTGAAGTCATATGACCGTGCTGTAGTTCCTTTATAGCCCAACATTAGCCACCTTTAGCTTAGCGGTGGTGACGTGAAGTCATGTGACCGTGCTCTAGTTCCTTTATAGCCCAACATTAGCCTCCTTTAGCTTAGCGGTGGTGACGTGAAGTCATGTGACCGTGCTGTAGTTCCTATATAGCCCAACATTAGCCACCTTTAGCTTAGCGGTGGTGACGTGAAGTCATATGACCGTGCTGTAGTTCCTTTATAGCCCAACATTAGCTTTTTACTTTAGAGAATGATAAAGTGTCCTCACACAGAGTAGCTTCCTCTCAGTGTAGCTTTACTACCTGAGTGGAGCTACAGCTCTGAATACTAATGATGGACTCTCTCCTCTCCAGCTATTGTTCCCCTGCTGTCTTTCTCTTTCTTTAAAGCATGCCATGCATGTCCCTGCGGTCACTTTACTGTGACCTCATCAGTATGCGCCTCACACAGGTCACCTTTTTTCTGCAGAGGAGAGCTTTAAGACTTCACTGAGTTTCAACAGTTTAAATCCTTATAGAGGAAATCTTTCTCAACCGTGTTGCCCTGGGTTTAATGCACTATAGTTGATCTTTCTGCTGACTTTTGTTCTAACTGCAACATTATAGCACTTAATATATACATAAAGCACTATTTTCAGTTCACTTTTTAACATTAAAGCATGGACACTACATACTGATATACACCTGAACATCAGCAGGAGAGGACTCTTTAAAGTAGAGACACTACATACTGATATACACCTGAACATCAGCAGGAGAGGACTCTTTAAAGTAGAGACACTACATACTGATATACACCTGAACATCAGCAGGAGAGGACTCTTTAAAGTAGAGACACTACATCCTGATATACACCTGAACATCAGCAGGAGAGGACTCTTTAAAGTAGAGACACTACATCCTGATATACACCTGAACATCAGCAGGAGAGGACTCTTTAAAGTAGAGACACTACATACTAATATACTCCTGAACATCAGCAGGAGAGGACTCTTTAAAGTAGAGACACTACATACTGATATACACCTGAACATCAGCAGGAGAGGACTCTTTAAAGTAGAGACACTACATACTGATATACACCTGAACATCAGCAGGAGAGGACTCTTTAAAGTAGAGACACTACATACTGATATACTCCTGAACATCAGCAGGAGAGGACTCTTAAAGTAGAGACACTACATCTGATATACACCTGAACTCAGCAGGAGAGGACTCTTTAAAGTAGAGACACTACATACTGATATACACCTGAACATCAGCAGGAGATGGACTCTTTAAAGTAGAGACACTACATACTGAGATACACCCTGAACATCAGCAGGAGAGGACTCTTTAAAGTAGAGACACTAACAATACTGATATACACCTGAACATCAGCAGGAGAGGACTCTTTAAAGTAGAGACACTACATACTGATATACACCTGAACATCAGCAGGAGAGGACTCTTTAATAGTAGAGACACTACATCACTGATATACACCTGAACATCAGCAGGAGAGGACTCGTAAAGTAGAGACCACTACATCCTGATATACACCTGAACATCAGCAATGGAGATGGACTCTTTAAAGTAGAGGACACTACATACTGAGTATACACCTGAACATCAGCAGGAGAGGACTCTTTAAAGTAGAAGACAACTACAGACTGATATACACCTTATCAGCAGGAGAGGACTCTTTAAAATAGAGACACCACATACTGATATACACCTGAACATCAGCAGGAGAGGACTCTTTAAAGTAGAGACACTACATACTGATATACACCTGAACATCAGCAGGAGAGGACTCTTTAAAGTAGAGACACCACATACTGATATACACCTGAACATCAGCATGAGAGGACTCTTTAAAGTAGAGACACTACATCCTGATACACACCTGAACATCAGCAGGAGAGGACTCTTTAAAGTAGAGACACTACATACTGATATACACCTGAACATCAGCAGGAGAGGACTCTTTAAAGTAGAGACACTACATACTGATATACACCTGAACATCAGCAGGAGAGGACTCTTTAAAGTAGAGACACTACATACTGATATACACCTGAACATCAGCAGGAGAGGACTCTTTAAAGATAATCGTGTGTGTTGACTCACCGCTGCTTGTCGGTGTGTGTTGGACAGAATCCCGTGGATCTTCACTTTGTCTTTTTGCATCTGGTCCACATCTACCCACAAGTCCTTGCTCATTGGGTCTGACGGGGTGTATGTTTTTGACGTGTAGTAGTTGTGATCTGTGTCCTCCTGCAGAAATGACAAAACAAAATAAATTATTTGGAGAAATGTAATACGACTTAATGGAGAGATTAGATATTGCTGTGCGTCCTTAGAGACTTCCTGTTAATCTAATTCAAAGTAATCTAATGAAAAACCAAAAACCTCAGAAAACATAATGAAAATCAATGAGTGTTTTTTCATTCTTCTGCTAATTAGATTACATGACAATGCATTTACGTTTCCATTGTACCTGCATTCTCTTTGTCCTTTAATTCAACTCTGTGGTTCTTTTCATTCGCGCACGAAGACCGTCTACTAATGAAATTAAGAACAAACAAGGAAGCCAATTTACTCTTTCCTCTCTTAAAGTAAAAGCAGACTGCACCGTCAGGATGTAACAGAAAGTGGACTTTTATGAGCCATGTGGGAGATTTTATAGTTTCCTGAACAGTAATAGTTAGGATGCTCGTGTCTTTGACTTCCTGTTGCTCGTCTGCAGTTTAATGAGAAACCGTACAGCTGTGTTTTTAAAGTGAACGTTGGTAAAGTCAGGGTAGCTGAGCTGTATGCCCCTTTCACACCAAGGCTTTTCCCGTTCTAGCTCCGTGAGCTTTTCTGGTTCGGAACCAGTTCTTCGGTTCAGCTCCCGCTCTGTTCACACCGCTCAGAGCCCGACTGGTGCTGCGTCATCGTTTGCGTCATGACGTAACCGTTTGCGTGCCTGCTTCGTAAAGCCAAACCGCGCGGAAACCCCTCACATCGACAACAACAACAACAACAACAACAACAACAACAACGACCGATTGTATTGAAGCGCTACTCGTTTTGGTTTTGCTCTGTCGAAACGAAATGGAAGAAATGGGACGACTTTACTACAGTCGTTACATTTAAAAATTCTTTCTCTTTGAATGATCTTCAACGACGATCCCGTAGGAGAAAGAAGGTAAATATACGTCCTATTCGATGGCGTTAGAGCTAGCTGTTGTTAGCCTCTGCATGCGCCAAGCTCAGAATACCCAGCTTTGCAGCATTAATTACTTTGGTATAACATTAAAGCTGATGCCCCCGCCTCCGACGTAAGCGTGACGTATGCGGTGCTTGCTTTCTAGACCGACAATTTGTTGGTGCTTGAAACGAACCGGATTGCGGAGCTTAGAGGCGGCTCCACTGCGGTGTGAACAGGAAAAAACTGTGCTTTTCAGGCTCTAGCTCCGAACCGGCCCTGGAACCGCGTTGGTGTGAAAGGGGCATTACAGTCACTTTTACACTGCTATGGACATCTTTTGATATATATCCTGCTTACTTGAAGTAAACGGTTGAGTGTTCTTGTATTTTAATGAGTGTTTACCTCAGGACTGTGGGAAACAGTATTTTGATCCTTCTGTGTGTACAAACATATTTAGAGATTGACAATAAAGTTGACTGACTGTAGAAGCTGCGTGAGATACGCTATAAGTTAATATAACACATTATCATGTAAGGCAAAGCAAGTTTATTTATACAGCACCTTCAATTCAAAGTGCTTTACAGAAATGAAAGACATATTATAAAATGGCATTTAAAAACACTCATTTAAAAGCAACCACAAGTCAAAGTCAACTTTATTGTCAATCTCAAAAGATCGACTGTTCCAACAGTCCCGAGGTCTAAAAAACACACATTCAAATAAAAATAAACACAAAATAACCGTTTACTTCAAGTAAGCAGGATATAGAAAACTAAATAAATAATAAAACATGAATAACAAAGGAACATGAATGAAAGTGAGAGCCGTGTGAGATCCGACATGTTTCGCTCCGACTCAATCGTTGCTCACTTTTTAGCAGAAATAGTTTTCTATCACCTCCCTTTCTTTCTACGTTCTCGTTTAACTTATCCTCGAGTTCTGTCAAGTGTTTCATGCTAAACGAACCCCCCTTTGGGAAACTCTAATCCGACCCCATGGTACCTTTTAGTTTTCCGCTTTTTGAAATGCACATTATTTAAGTTGACCTTGTCTCTCTAGGAACTTTTTAAGACACAAAACAAACAGTGTGAAAACCCTGATTTGAAGTCGCTGCTTGTTCTGAATACGCAGCGTTGTGATTAAAGCAGCGCTCGGGACTCAGGAGACGAAACCCCCAATGAGCCTCTGAGCTGTCCCAGACCTCCAGTAACCAATCAGAACCCCCTCCTCTCTTATTACTGCACATCAAAGCTACCCCCCCCCCCCCCAACACTGTGAGCGTTTATTGGAAACCTGACACGTCTGCTTAGTCTCAGAACAGACTGTACCGCTCTGCAGGCGAGAACATGAACATTCAGAGGAGCATGTGAAGTCCCTTTTCACATGCTCTGAATCTGCAGCAAGATGTTTATGCATATTTACACATTTATGTACATGACTACGCCGTGGTTCTGTTGAGTGAATCTACTGCATCCTCATGCACTTCACTTCTCTTTCTGGTTTGATTCAATCTGTTACTCTGTGCAAGGACAAGCTGAAGACATGAAATGTGTATTTGTGTAGTTATTTTAAGACATAAAATAGATCCATTTGACATCTGTGAGTTACCTCTAAACTAGTTTCTCGAAGAGGTCAGGCCTCCATGTTGGCTTGCTTATTGTTTTCTTGAATCAGGTCCAAAAAAACACTTCTAAAAGTTAGAAGTCTAGATTGAGTTTTTAGGGTCCATCAGATGCCAAGATCTAGTCCGAGGGGTTTGAAGGAAGTGAGTGAGACAGGAATGATGCCCAAACGGTTTTCTAGTGTTGTTGTTGTTGTATTTTTAAGCAGTGATCATTACTTAGGGAAAAGTGTGAGACATTCACGATTATCAAGACATTTACACCAACTTATTCAATATGTTGGAGTCAGAACATGACTGATGATATGCCGCCAAGGCCTCAAGAGTCTATGTTATATTAGCTATTACTTTTATTGAATGAAGTGTTGACATGTTCCAAAGAAAGACAACTCAAAAGAACATGCAATACATGTCCAGATGAATGTGTTTATCCATTGCATGAGCTCTGTATAAACATTACGCCACACATGCGGTCGATTCCCATGAAACAGCAGCTGGGGTTATGAAATGTTCGGGGACATAAAACAGGTATTAAAATCTTCTCTGCCGACACAAACAACAACAGGAATAGAAGCCTTTACCGACAGCGTGTCCAGACGAGCAGTGAAGAAACTGATCACATCTGAACTCACTGACTCACAGTCTGCTGCTATAAAGCCAGGTGAGAGGAATCTGACGTTAACCAAAACACACGCTGACCTCAGATCAGATTCCTTCAGCTCTACTTCAACACAAGCCTGTTTTATGGAAATGAAGATATGGTCACAGATATCAAGGCAAACATATGTTGGAAGTGACTGAAGAAGTGAGAGATTTAGAGTCAGCTAGCGTAGCTTAGCATAAGAGATGGAAACAAGGGTGCAGAAAATCCAGTTAAAATCAGGGTATGTGTCTTCAGCCCTTTGAATATAAAGTGTGTGTGTGTGTGTGTGTGTGTGTGTGTGTGTGTGTGTGTGTGTATGTATGTGTGTGTGTGTGTGTGTGTGTGTGTGTGTGTGTGTGTGTAATGACAGGAGGAGTTATGGCATGTTTGTGCTGGGGACTGCCTTTCCATTTAGCAACAGATAATAACCCTCTGAGAGCCAAAATACAATGAGTGTGTGTCTGCATGAGTGTGTGTGTGTGTGTGTGTGTGTGTGTGTGTGTGTGTGTGTGTGTGTGTGATTACAGTTCAACCTGAGATGATTAGAAGCCAGACTCTTTAACGAGCTGTTTGCACCCCGGCGTATGCCATCATTACGACTGAACACCACAACAAGGGGAGGCCTTTCTCACACACACACACACACACACACACACACACACACACACACACACACACACAACACAAACACACACAACACACACACACACACACACAACACACACCACACACACACACACACACACACACACACACACACACACACACACACACACACACACACACACACACACACACACACACACACACACACACACACACACACACACACACCCACACACACACACACACACACACACACACACACACACACACACACACACACACACACACACACACACAGTTCATTTCCTGTGTCTGGGAGGTTAGGTTTAAGAAGAAGGTAGACGAACACCTGAGGGCTGATTTTAATATGATATCAAATATTCATCTGCCTTTTTCATTACCCAACATCCAGGGGAGTAATAATTGGCTGAGGGAGTATTTTTAGACACACAGCTGAGCAGAGAGCTTTATCGATTCCTGCTCTTTATTCTCCTCCCTGTGGAGCTGCACTTTAGTTGGGATTCATTCAGGGGAAAAGACGGAGAGTCCATTAACTAATGGGTTTATGATCATCTCCCGATCCCTTACCTACATCTCTTAAAGGTCTCCTATTATACTATTTTTAGGCCTATAGGGGTGTGCAAACTTTTTTCACCGAGGGCCACATACAGAAAAATATTCGAAGGGCTGGGCCGCTCAGAGGTCAGGTTTATTGCCTCATAAGTGAAGTTATAAGTTAGCTAAATCAATCAAATGTAAGTAAATTAAGCTTGATACAACCGCCTACAGTACAGCTCTCCATAGGGTTTCATTTCCCTATGAACAGATAGCCTTAGATTAACTATCATAAGAATAGGAAGGGTATATTGGGCTTTTTTCTAATCAACTTATCTAATTTGTCAAATCTGGATCAGCTCCGTTGTACCCCCGTTTTTAGAGATGTGGATACGCAGGAAAAGAGAGAGGGTTTTATTTCCTGACACTTTGAGAGTCTCCTGACACACCGGGGACACACCGGGGACACATGGGGGACACATGGTGGTGTATAAAAGACATCAACATGTGCATTTTGCATAATAGGAGACCTTTAAAATCTACTTTATATAGACATGCAGATTTACACATATACAGTTCCTACCTCTATCTGGGAGCTGTTGTCTGTTTCCTCTGCAGACATCAGACCTGGGAATCCTTCAGGTTCCTCAGGCTCTGGATCCTGGTTCTGGTCGTTGTTCTGGTTCTGGTCCTGCTCCTGGCTGGCTCTGTTGCTGTCCATGTTACGAGGTTTCGGAGGAAGCCATCTCCTCCACCTGTGGCTGAACAGCTTCACATCCACTGCTGTTTCCTCATCTCCAGATAGCCCCTGCACGTATGAGTAGGAGACCCCTGAGGAGACAGGAAAACAAGGTGTGAGATTAGCATAGCATACAGCACAGACCACCGCTAAGCTAAAGGCGGCTAATGTTGGACTATAAAGGAACTACAGCACGGTCACATGACTTCACGTCACCACCGCTAAGTTAAAGGCGGCTAATGTTGGGCTATAAAGGAACTACAGCACGGTCACATGACTTCACGTCACCACCGCTAAGTTAAAGGCGGCTAATGTTGGGCTATAAAGGAACTACAGCACGGTCACATGACTTCACGTCACCACCGCTAAGTTAAAGGTGGCTAATGTTGGGCTATATAGGAACTACAGCACGGTCACATGACTTCACGTCACCACCGCTAAGTTAAAGGCGGCTAATGTTGGGCTATAAAGGAACTACAGCACGGTCACATGACTTCACGTCATCACCGCTAAGCTAAAGGCGGCTAATGTTGGGCTATAAAGGAACTACAGCACGGACACATGACTTCACGTCACCACCGCTAAGCTAAAGGCGGCTAATGTTGGGCTATAAAGGAACTACAGCACGGTCACATGACTTCACGTCATCACCGCTAAGCTAAAGGCGGCTAATGTTGGGCTATAAAGGAACTACAGCACGGTCACATGACTTCACGTCCCCACCGCTAAGCTAAAGGCGGCTAATGCTGGGCTATAAAGGAACTACAGCACGGACACATGACTTCACGTCATCACCGCTAAGCTAAAGGCGGCTAATGCTGGGCTATAAAGGAACTACAGCACGGACACATGACTTCACGTCATCACCGCTAAGCTAAAGGTGGCTAATGTTGGGCTATAAAAGAACTACAACACGGTCACATGACTTCACGTCACCAGCGCTAAGCTAAAGGCGGCTAATGTTGGGCTATAAAAGAACTACAGCACGGTCACATGACTTCACGTCACCAGCGCTAAGCTAAAGGCGGCTAATGTTGGGCTATAAAGGAACTACAGCACGGTCACATGACTTCACGTCACAAGCGCTAAGCTAAAGATGCTAATGTTGGGCTATAAAAGAACTACAGCACGGTCACATGACTTCACGTCACCAGCGCTAAGCTAAAGGAGGCTAATGTTGGGCGTTATGACATTTAGTCTTCTGTACAAATCACCTTAAAATTGAAATTCCATGTAGGCCACCACGAATATACTTTAATAAATCATGCTCCATCATTTTCTCATTAACTTAATTGAACCCTGTGTTAGCCTGAAGCGATGCCGTGTTCCGCAAATGGGTGTTTAGTACAAGCAAAGATAATTAAACTAGACCCAGTTTTACTCTCACTGAGTCAGATCACAAAGGCGGGGATTATTAAAGCCATTAATCTCCCGCCACTCCTCATAACTCACTGTCTCCGCAGACTCACTGCCCGAAACAGATGCACATTAGCAATGACTCAGCAGCCGTCACACACACCGTCCCACACACACCAGCCGTCACACACAATCATCCCGTCACTGAGTCTGCATTGAGACGCTGCTGACAGGTGAGAAATGGGTCTGTTTAAATGTAAACAATGCTGAAATCTGCTGAGTCATGATAGGAAACGAGTTAGGATGAAGAAGGCGTCAAACTGAATTTCACAAGTTCTGTTCTTGATTTTTCGCAAGGTATTTTGATCCTGAATCCATCGTGCAAGCCATGTACTGTACACAGTGTACTGACAATATACAATCTGTGTCAAGCTAAACTAAACTTTGTAAATCAAGGCAGCAACTTGAGTCTTCATTTTTGTAATATAACATTCTTAAATTGGATTTTTAACCGTCTTTACTTGTGCTCTTTAATATTCCTGATTGCAGACGAGCACTGGCTGTAATTCTTCTTTTCAAATGAGCTGCAGATTGCACTGAGCCCCGTTTCACATCCTTCTGCTTCTTCTAAAGTAATGTGCAGATTGGTCTCTTCAGCTTCCACTTTCTGGAGCATTAGCATCAAAAGCCCCTCTTTTTCGTCTCCTGAGAACCACTGGTCTGGGGCCCAAAAGAGGAGGAGGAGGAGGAGGAAGACATGTGAGCTTTAAGAGAAGGAAAGACTGGTTAAACCCAGTGACCTCTGTCTCATAGAAGTAACAGAAGAGGAATCAGGAGTGTTTACCGTCCCAGATCCAGAAGAATTAGCACCGCAGCGACTTTGTAAACTTTTTTTACGAGTGCTATAAAAATGTATTACCAATTGTCCTCAAAAGTTTAATCCTATTAGGGGAGCTTATCCAAGCATGCTGAGCATTAGCCTGCAGGCAGGGAACCAGTCTGCAGGCCATCAGCACACTCTCACACCCTGTGAGCATGGGACACAGAGTGGATTTGAGCCTTTGCAGACCATTGTCATGCACTAAAACCTATACAACTGTTAGAGAACTCTCCCTGGTCCCCGACTTGAGCTTCAATCTCAGGATCCATGTGTCTGTGATCCTCTCCAGAATGGAAGGAGTCATCACATACAGAGCATCAGCTAGTTCCTGAACAGTGTCCTTCACATGCTGATATCAAGAGAGGGAGTTACATAGTCACAAGATGGAGGAATAGAAAGCAGTATTCAATGTTTACTTCAGATTAGCTCCACGTCAGAAATGAGCATGCTTGATGTCTCTCTCCATAGAGGCTGAATCCTCATGTTAATCACAGAGCTATCATCTGCCTCAAACAGTCCTGATGCTCTTCTAGGTAATCACACATCCTGTCATGTTCACAGCTACAGTTGATACCTTTGTCATCACGTGACTCTCATGTTGGAAGAGGACATTCAGGATGTTCACAACACAAACCCACGACAGGAGAGGGAAAAACACCCCAAAAAAGCATTAAATGGTCTCTTAAAAACTACATTTTCTCTCCATGTGCATCCTCTCACCACTAACACTCCCTGTCCCTAAGGGTCATTAGTCACAGTTATTTATACTCTAATCAAAGAGGCACCTACACATCTACTTCCACCCTTAAAGGATCTTTGTCGGTTCCTCCATATACGATGGAAACCTGGCAAACAGCCGCTTCTTTAAAACACACCGTGACCACAACATAGGGACCTGGAATAAATGGCAGTTTTCTTCCAGCATGTCTGGTCACTTTTTCCAGGAAATCATGAACCTGAATTTACTGTGAGGCTGTTACAACTTAAAGATTTAATTGAATTACATACTTTATTTGCTGTGCAAAACACTAGATTGTTGTGTTGACATGTATGTTATGCAGAGATGGGAAGTATTGGAGTACAAATACTTCGTTACTGTACTTAAGTACATGTTTCTGGTATCAGTACTTTACTCCACTACTTATTTTTCTGACTACTTTTTACTTTGACTTCTCACATGTTGAACCCAAATACCTGTACTTTCTACTTCTTACATGTTGAACACAAATACCTGTACTTTCTACTTCTTACATGTTGAACTCAAATACCTGTACTTTCTACTTCTCACATGTTGAACACAAATACCTGTACTTTCTACTTCTCACATGTTGAACTCAAATACCTGTACTTTTCTACTTCTCACATGTTGAACCCCAATACATGTACTTCTACTCTCACTGTTGAACTCAAATACCTGTACTTTCTACTTCTACATGTTGAACACAAATACCTGTACTTTCTACTTCTCACATGTTGACCACAAATACCTGTACTTTCTACTTCTTACATGTTGAACTCAAATACCTGTACTTTCTACTTCTTACAGGTTGAACAACAACATACCTGTACTTTCTACTTCCTTACATGTTGAACACAAATACCTGTACTTTCTACTTCTCACATGTGAACACAAATACCTGTACTTTCTACTTCTCACATGTTGAACACAATACCTGTACTTTCTACTTCTTACATGTTGAACAACACAATACCTGTACTTTCTACTTCTCACATGTTGAACACAAATACCTGTACTTTCTACTTCTCACATGTGAACACAAATACCTGTTACTTTCTACTTCTCACATGTTGAACTCAAATACCTGTACTTTCTACTTCTCACATGTTGAACCCAAATACCTGTACCTTCTACTTCTCACATGTTGAACTCAAATACCTTGTACTTTCTACTTCTTACATGTGAACACAAACCTGTACTTTCTACTTCTCAACATGTTGAACACAAAATACCTGTTACTTTCTACTTCTTACACTGTTGAACTCAATACCTGTACTTTCTACTCTTACATGTTGAACTCAACTACCTGTACTTCTACTTCCTTACATGTTGAACTCACAATACCTGTACTTTCTATTCTACAGGTTGAACCCAAATACCTGTACTTTCTACTTCTACATGTTGAACTCAAATACCTGTACTTTCTACTTCTTACAGGTTGAACCCAATACCTGTACTTTCTACTTCTTACATGTTTGAACCTCAAATACCTGTACTTTCTACTTCTTACATGTTGAACTCAAATACCTGTACTTTCTACTTCTTACATGTTGAACTCAAATACCTGTACTTTTCTACTTCTACAGGTTGAACTCAAATACCTGTACTTTCTACTTCTTACATGTTGAACTCAAATACCTGTACTTTCTACTTCTTACATGTTGAACATCAAATACCTGTACTTTCTACTTCTCACATGTTGAACCCAAATACCCTATACTTTCTACTTCTTACATGTTGAACTCAAATACCTGTACTTTCTACTTCTTACATGTTGAACCCAAATACCTCTGTTCCTCTTCTACTTCTTACATGTTGAACTCAAATACCTGTACTTTCTACTTCTTACATGTTGAACCCAAATACCTGTACTTTCTACTTCTTACATGTTGAACACAAATACCTGTACTTTCTACCTTCTTACATGTTGAACTCAAATACCTATACTTTCTACTTCTTACTGTTGAACTCAAATACCTGTACTTTCTACTTCTACATGTTGAACCCAAATACCTGTACTTTCTACTTCTACATGTTGAATCAAATACCTGTACTTTCTACTTCTTTACATGTTGAAACCAAATACCTGTACTTTCTACTTCTTACATGTTGAACAC